GACAATATAATACTATATAGACGGTTAACTGTTAAATCGTGATATCTAATCTTTCCATGTTTGGTACATACACAAAGTTGTCCGAGAAATTGAAGGTTCTCCCGTGATACTTGTGCCAAATACTATCCCACACATCTGGCGTACGTAATTTTGTTATAAGGAAAAACTTTGCTAATAAGACCGTTGTTTGGTTTCGATATTCATTCTCTGAGGAGAAAACGAACAAGTAATTACAAATGATATCATTTTTAACACAACATAAGTAATCAACACTTTAAGAATGAAAGATATTAGTAATTTACATGAACTGAAAATAAAAACATTGCAAAACGTAGTCAGGTTTAGCATTCGTTTGCATACGTAGTTATATACTCATAACCAACAGAAACTAACATTATTAGTATATAAAATTAGTAAAAGATAAGAAATAAAAAGTAGTTGTAGTACTTGTAATCATTTATTTTCTGTAAATAACATTTGATATAAAGCCTTTGTTGTTTAATCAGTTTTTTATAATCTTTATAATCACTTATGATTGAGCAGGAAAATGAAAATAATCACAGCCAGATCTTGGAATTGTCGTTATCACAATATTGAGGTCATAGTCAACGTTCGAATACTGGATTTATCGTAAATTGTGTTGCGGTACGTGGTGATGGGGAGGTGGATGGTGGGGATGATGTGGCGGAGGGTGATGATGGTGTGGCGGAGGGTTGTGATGGTGTGGCGGAGGGTGATGGGGCGGAGGGTTATGTGGGTGATGGTGTGAGGGAGGATAAGGATATTGCGGCGGGTATTGTGCCGGCGGGTAGTGCGGCGGTGTCGGTTGTACTATGATTTTGTTCCTGTGATAGCAATGCGGAGCGCAGTTCCCAGTACCACAGTATGGCCCGCAAGGTAATGCGTGTGGAGGAGGCATTTCTGGAAAAATACGTACTCATAAAAAAATATTCTAACATCCATGAAAAATTACGTACATTACACATATATGAAAACATAGCTCAAGCAGAAGTTTTTTAATTCGTTATATTTTTTAATTTTCATATAATTTATCGCATTGGTAATTCTATTGCATGTTGTATAATTAATTGACAAACATAATTGAATTATAAATCAAATTATTGATAAATAAGTATTTATTGAATTCCGGGTAACTGTATTTCAGTGGCCGCAATCATTGAACACTAGCATGATCGATTAGGTATGTCAGTATAAATAATTTCATTAAAATTGTATTGTTATGTTTCGATTACAAGAATTTCGCAACATAATAACGTATTTTATTATCGTCAATGAGTCAGTAACTTTTAACGATGCGTTGTTATTTTTAATTACAAAACTAATATTGAAATAACTAAAGAAACAAGAAAAAAGATAATATAACGACTAGACATATCCTCGAAGATTTAATTTGCACAAATGTGGAAAAGATTTAGCTGATTATCTTTAAGAATTTATATTAGGGTAAAATAATAACGCAAATATTCAATAATAATAAAAAATACTGATTATAAAACTTACCTTTAGTATTTTGTTTGAGGCAAAATTAACAACACCAGATCGCTTGTTTATCCGTTCGAAACTGTTTCCATTAGCAGTGCGCAGGTTGATTTTATTGATCCACATTCGATAATCGCAACAGTTACGTTATCATTTAGTTCTGCGAATACGATAAGATATGTTTATCTTAACGTGACTAATAGAAATGAAAACAAACACTATCGCTGATGTGTTATTCCTATTTTTTTTACTCCATAATAAAAACGCATATTATAGATATCAAATATCTATAATATTAATGTATATTATAGATATTTGATGCAAATTAGAGATATACGTAATTCTTAACTGCATTTAGAGTTAAAGATGTTTATTATACTTTAATTTTAACATAATGATGCTAAAAACTGAAAGTTAATAAATTAGTGAAGCGCTTGAAGAGGGTAACCACTTTACAATAATACGACAAAAAATAAACAATTGTTCAGTGAATATAAGTTGTTGTGATTTCAAAGTTGCTCAAACGGAAAATGTAATTTACTTATTGCTGTTTGTTTATTCGCAGGCTACTTAAGTCTGTTGTTTGTGTCGTTTCTAGTTTTATTCCAAAAATAGATAAACAATTTTTAAATACATTTTAACCTTTTGTGAAGAAAATGGAAGTAACTACATTTCACATATAAATAGAATAGATTTTCTCGACATTTCTTCCGGAATTAAAAAAAAAATAGTCTATGCGTTCTCCTAAACTATATTCTACATCTGTGCTAAATTTAATCGAGAACTCTCAACCTTTTTTAGATATGTTGATACAAACATTCATCCATTTTTCTTTTGTAATTATGACATTAGTATAATTTAATTATTTATTATATGTTTCGATTATTCAAACCCGTAACGACACCATAAGTTTGCTTATAGCCGATTTCCCGATATGTTAGTGTTTGTCATCAATAGTCATGGCGTATCCGAAATACATCATTTGAGTTTTACTCCCCCGAAACTTAGATATTTGAATCACTAAGTAACAAAGTACATATGTACTTCAACAGCCTGGAATTATTCAAATTTCTGCTGTCAAAATGTTCGAAAGGTGTAGCTTGATCCAAACATGTACTTATTAAAAAAAAACGCCTGTATATTTTCTGTTAAACATTAATAAAGCTAGTTCTTTTTGCAACTCAGTTCGGAACGCGATTGTAAACAAGAGCTAATGTTGTATACGTTCCGGATCCCGCCGGCTTACATTATGGCTTAGCGTACCAAGTGTGTTTATTTGACTCTCGCTTTTACATGGGACTTCTTAAATGTTGCCTACTTACACTTTGTACATTGGCACGTTTTTTTATTTTACAAACTGATCGTAAAAAGTTAATTCACCATAAAATACTAAAGTTTAAAAACATTTAGATAGAATACATTTCAATTGGTTTCAAGTTTATGAAATTTTAACACAATAATGTATGTTATATCTATTTCTATTATATTCCAAAAGGAAAATGTAATCATTATTTTTAATTTAATTTCCTTTAATGCTTCCTTAAAACGGAGTTGCCAAAAGTAAGTGCATGAATTGCAAGCAATTTAAAAATTTAAATGTCTACAAAGTGCATAACGACATAGTCTTTTGCCGCATCTTAAACGCGACCGTTGGATAGTCAACAGACCAAGTAACTAACAAACTTTGTACGAAATATAGAGTTTAATATATTACATAGATATGTGGATATTGTTAATCATTTTTCCTTATTATAATAAAATGAGCAGAAATTCTAAATTGCAGTTGCGTTGTTTATCCTTAATCGTAAGAGGAGACGTACGAATAGATATTTACCATTTATATGCATCTTCTCCGTCGCCAAGTACACTTTTCCATCCCATCATTTCCGTAAAAGAAAAGGGTGGAATGACAAAGTGACTAAAATAAGACCTTCCGCTCATACACTCATCAGACTAAACGCGGAATTTCTCCAACTTCACGTCAGTCATCTGTGTGGTCGTGGTATTGCACCGGGCGAACCGGCCCATTCGTGCGAAGATGTTAAAGCTGGCTCTACCAATATTAAAGTTTAACTACGACTAAAATACTTCAAATCCGTTGTTTCTGTCAAAAACATGTAATTAATCAATTTAAAAGTTCTGCGATTGTAATAAAAGATCAGGGTTTTATGAGATTGAAAAACATTTCAATGTAACCTACATCGGAGGGATTCATTCGTGATACTCATTCAACCGCAACGTTGCCATTCACCACTCACTCGTGAATGATTAACTTTCGAGATTAACTTTCATTGAATGTAAGCTAAAAAACGGTTTTAAAATGCACTTCATAACCTCAATTCTTAATTAAATTAAGTGAAGTGTGATGATGTTTAATATAGTAGGCATGTTTTTTCCTAATTGTGTTCTTAGGAACACAATATAATAAACCACCGATAAACTACGGGATATATTTTAATTAGGTTTTGGTTGGGAACTATTATGGTTTTTACCCTAAAAATGTAAAACACTAACTAACAAAAATGTTTACTTACACTAAAGTAAGTAATTATTTAAAATTATAACATTGTCTGGACTTTGGGGTTAATTCGTTTGTTTATACCGTTTATGCCTTACTGAAGTCATGATTCTTTTGTGTTAAAAATGTAGTAACAATTCTAAAGTTGGATTTATCTTTCCATTTATAAAACTCTTAACCGTCATAGGTGACGGAGTTCAAACTATTTCGGTAGCGTCTACTCCGAGGCTAGACATCACTATTCCTAGATTCAATGACATTACCAACTAGACATGTTAGTTTGGTAGACAGACCGGATTTAAGTTCTGACTATTCAGATGTTCAAGTTAGGACTATTCCCTGCAACTTTAAATAATAAATCTATTCTCCAGGAATATGCTTTGCAATTGAAGCATAATTGTTAATTTCATTCAAATTCATTATTGTAGAAAAATCTAAAAAAAAGTAAAAGAACTTTTTCATACACATAAAAATAAATAATACGATGAAATACTACTTATAAAAGTTCAACAGAACTAAGGAGAAACAATTCAACACGAACATAGTTACCTGAACTATGACTATAATCAAGCCATTATTTGTAATAATAAATCACAAGTCCGTCAAGTCAAACGGTATTAAACTTGTTAATTAATAAAGTTGCAAAGTGCGAAGCTGTGTCATCATGACGTCATGCCAATTAAAAGCTCTCGTTGCCCCAAAGCTGTGGAGGTTTTTAAAATAAACGTGTAGGGTTTTTAACAATTATTAAGATAATACAGAAATACAATTATACAAATATTATAAATGGGAAAGTATAGCTGGATGGATGGATGTTTGTGAGTTTGTAGCCTAAACGGATTTCGATGAATTATCATAGATTAGAGAAAACATATACTTACTTTTTTTTAAAAAAAAATTCACCCGGACGGAGTCACGGGCGAAAGCTAGTAGTTATATTTTTGATCATTCTGCGCACCAAAAAATTCACAAGCATAATTAATTTTTTTTTCTCCATATTTGTCTAACACTCAATTTTTAAATGTATTCTGCTACGTCTTCATTCCAAAACAAAAAATATATTTCGTGGGGTTTCTGTAAGAATGTCTTAGTTCAATAAAGTTGTGTTAAGGTTTAATGTTAAATTTGTTAGGTTTGATGGAAAAAAAAATGTTAATTAATATAAATTATCAAAATGTACAAATCGATTCCACATCCATCTAATTTCAAGCCGCCATTACAATCGCGTGATGTATATTCAATTCGCTGACCGCTAGCGGCCGGACCACATTAATCCAAACAAACTTCCGCACAACATTAATCGAAATTCAAATACAAATCTAATCAATTCAGATTAACAATTTGATCGGACGTGCTCGAACATACTAAATTGTGAGATAGGTCTTGATACGCTGTTGTAGGGTATGATACAGTACGTAAAAATATACCTATCATCCTATTTGTTTGTAACTTAATTAAATTAATGACACTGGGTATTTAGAATTTCATCTAATTCTACTGTAAAATTTAAATAATCAAGTTAATTTTTCTGGATGTTACCTGTTGGCCCGAGTGCCTACAGATCAATGGGCGCAATTAGATTTTTTCCAATAAAGACCCTATTATTGTGTGCGTTTATTCTTCGTAATGGGAAAATCCATTGGTTCGATTAATTGGTGGGCCGATTGGTTTAACGGGAAACAGCCATCATTTCTTGTTTTTTTTTTTTAATTCGTTCGTAAGTTCGTTAAAAATACTAGTGGTCTGTTTTTGCATCAATTAATATTTTCTTGTTTGAACAAAATGGTTAATTGGTAAACTGTGCAGTTTTTGTTTAGTCGATAGATTTACAATTTCTATTGGTTCGGCCTTCTGATCTGTAAATGAACTAATTGGATGAATGTTGACACGCTGGATGCATTTTTACGTTTAGAATTGTTTTATTAATTCTACAAGTTAAAAAATTTATGCTGTAAATATTTTTTAATAAAAAGTAAATGAAAATCTTCCAAAAGCCTTATACATGTTTAAATTAAATTTAAAATGTAATATTGAGTAACATTGAATCAACCCATAACAAGCATCGACATGTTTTCACTGAAGGGTAGCTGACATAGACGAGCATATAGGCTACTTTTTTATCTTAATATTGCGTAGTCGTAACAGACGTAACAACCAGAAAACACGATATGTTCGCTTTACTCAAAAGACTCATTATTACAATATACATTTTGTTAAGGATTAAAACAACGAGTCTTTTCTCCATATTCCGAAGTATACATTATTCTGCTATAACAAAGAGTAGCATTAAAAATATTACTTCTGCATTAACAAAATCAACATATGTGATATTCCGATACGACTATCGATGATTTGAAAAAAAACGTATCTTTCGATAGTTTTAATCAGCAAATGTGTCGTTCGCTTCACATATTTGAATACACGACACCGAGCAGGGAGTGCGACACTGATTTAATATGACATAACAAAACTATTATCTATTCTATCTATAATATTATAATAAAGCGTAAACACACACTTTTTCGTGGCGTAAGAAGTCAACAATCACAGCATATTTTTGCATAATTCCTTCTTTAATAAAAACCCGACACTTAAGACACTTTAGGCTATATG